TTTATGGGAAGCGTAGATGAAAAAAATGAAAAAAAGAGAACAGGACAAGGAGGGAGGAAGGGAGAGTTTGCATGTATGGACATGAAGACAGTAAAGGCCCGGGGACATTCAGGGAGAAAAACATTAGAGATCATTCACAGGCATCGCATGGCACATCAACGCATACCTCTTTCTCTAAGTCACTCACGAGCACGCCCCCCCCCTCCCTCCCCTAATCTCTCACAAAAACCTCTGGTCCACCGACACACTGCAACACACACTCGGCCTGTTCAGAGGGGGTTTAATGAGGCTTGTATGGATCAGTTCCTCACTAATCAGTACATGAGAGGGATTCTTCACATGCAATCAGGGAGCATGTGTTGAGATTAAAAGTTTTCCTTCAGGCACAGTTTCCTGAATGAAACTCCACTCCCAGCTCTGAGCTCTTTTTCGCTGATGCAACATCGCTGTAATATTTATGGTGGAGTTCAGAGAGAGTTGTCGCCGCTCTTTATTAGCTGCCGCTCCTTTAACAGCCTCGTTGGCCGCAGTTTTATTCTTTTGTCAACAGCAAATTGGGGAAGAATTAAGCCTGTTATTATTCAATTGTTTCCCATTTTCATTGTTGATGTCGGAAATTAAGCTCTCCGCCTCCTATGGCGCGGCGTAAAACAATGGCTCGCATTGATAGGATCTGCATGGTGACTACCACCAGACAGCCCTCATTAACCAGCATGCTGCGCTGCACCTGCATCCTAGACCAGCATTTAAGGTAGACACTTAAATGCTGGTCTAATGGATAATAAGCACACACTCGATCCATAAAAGTAGCAGAGAAGAGATGTGATTTCATAACCTTAAACAGATAAAAGCAAATTACCAAACACATTAACAAACGTTGGCCTTAAAAAGGTTCAAATGAATTCAATGAATGAAAGTATGAATTAAAAAGGCCCCAAATTTTAGGGGATAAACTCATGACATGAACATAAAGTCACAAAATCAGCTAACATTTTAGCATCTATGGACACTTTTCACAGCTTAATTCTGACAGTAGACAAACATTTTTCCCAGTCATATTCTCAAGACTATTAAATTCTCCATTGCATATTACTTCCCAAACTCCTTCAAAACCTGGGGCTCTTTTATTGTCTTACAATAAAAGTGGAACCCTGTGTCCTTTCTAAGAAGTTTCTATCTTTTGTTTTTATCTCCCACCATTCACTCTCACCACAACCCTGATCTTTGGCCTTCTTCTGTTCCTCTTACCTTCCATGTTCATCCTCATCCAAACATTTCTCACTATCAAATCTCTTTTTTTATTTGTCCCCAAACTGTAGTTGTATTCCTATTTCTGTTGCATCAGATTTGGTAGTTTTGCAGCTGATTGATTTTAGAAGGGGTTCTCTGACATCTCTAACAATGGGTAAATCATATCAGGCTGTTGATTATTCTCCAATATCTTGTTTGGGGAATCATTTCCAGGATGGATGAGATTTGTAACATGTGCTCCCCTGGGGTCTCATCCAAGTTTGATAACAATAATTAAAATCAGCACACGAGTAAATACATTTAAGAACTGTATTGAAACGTATTATTCTCACATTTTTTCAAACTATTCAACTCAAGGGTAAAACAAAATCTTGTCAAAACCACAGCCTCAACTTGTAACTGGGATAGACAGTGCTCTCAAAAGCACCGTCTATCCCAGTTACAAGTTGAGGCATTATTTATCTAAAATAGCTATAATGTCACTTATACTGGCTGAATAACTGGATAATTTCAATCTAACTGTCTCAACCAACAATGAGGTAAGTGGATAAATAAGTGGAATGGAAGATGAGTGTAAACTGTCAGAGATTATACAATTTAAACGTATATTTAATAATGAACCTTTAATGTTCATATTCAACAATCCCATAACGTTTGGGGAGGCTAAGGGAGGACTAGGTTTAGGTGTTAATGGCGCAATGCTTCCCTCGAGTGGTGAACAACTGCACTACTTCTATTTTGTTTAGCGTGTGCAACGCCGTGATTTTTGCCTGCTCTGCCGAGTATAGTATCATAAAATTCATCCATGAGCGAGTAGCAAAATGTAAGAACTACTCAATTAGAGATCTTTCAACGTTTGTATTTCCCTACTTTTGTTGGTATGTGCTTCGTTCGAGAAACATACTACAAAATCGACAAAAAACAAAAAAAACAACAAAACCTAAAATCTATCATGTTAAAATATAAGCCTATGTTGTTGTCATTATGTCCTCAGGTTATT